GGGAAAGTTACCCGCATTGTTGTTTAACAAGCACAAGTCACGGGTAAATCTCCCCATGACAAATAGTTTACCTTTAGTCATGGGACTGTACCCGTAGCAAACGAATCCCGTGACTGAAGGTGTATATTTTCTTGTAGTGGTTGTAGCACAACAGTGACGTGGTTCGCCTTGCGAAGTACCAGAACTAGGAGTTTGGTTTGTTGGCTCGCTCAAACATAACCATGGTGGTGGTACAGTGTTCGTGGGTTTCGGTTCCTTAAGTGAGGCCGTCTTTGCGTTTGGGCAACATTACAAAGGTATAAATGACCCTTTCTTAATAGAATAATTGGCTTTGCGATCGAGAGGCTATGAACTAATTAATGTCTAACCCATCGTGCTTAATCTATTAAATTTCATGGCAATTCCCAACTGGTCATTCGACAGATGATGACGGGCGTGCTTTCACATGATTTGGGAGGAGACATCTTGAAAAATATTGGCAAGCTGTCGTCTAATTTCAAAAGTTTTATTTTTATTTTTTTGCTCCTCGTCGCTTCAGTAAGACCGCCCATCGTATGACACACAAAAAGCTCTCTTATCAGAAGTTTAACTATTGATCGACTACCGTGGATTCTTACTGTCTACATTCTTGACAAGAAAAGAAACAAACTCGATCCTTACTGAACGTAATACAATAAAGTAGTGTCACTAACGGTACTGCACAACATACGGCACATAATAACCCATACTTTTCCCCCCGATAAAGTAGCTGTAAGCTTTTAGCAGAATTTGTCTTCCTTCTCATATCTGACGGAACATTCGGGATTCTGATCAACCAAATTGATCTGGCCCCCGCTTCCGCTTCTGCACTTCTGGTTTAGAAGATCCTTGGCCCTGTTGAGACACGTGGAGCACTCCTCGAACCGCGCGGCGCAGGTGGCCAGGCCGGTGATGGTGAACCCACTGCCGTCGACGTCGGTGGAGGTGCAGAACCGCCTCTTCTCCGGCTTCGAGCTGGTCACCCCTACCAAGCGGCCCAGAATCTCGTCCCTCGCCGCCGTGGCCTGAGGCTCGTCGGTGCTGTTGAAGTTGTGTGCGTTGCACAGCACCGGTACGTTCACTTTCTTCCTGGCTTCGGCTGGGCGAGTCGTAGTAGGAGTACTGGCTAGCAGGACAACTGCGACCAGGAAAACAATGGTAGTAGTACTACTACTAATTGCCATCTTCTTCATGTTGTTAACTAATTAATTAATTGCTTCTTCTTTTTTTTTTTTTCTTCTACCTTCTCTCTTGTTTTTTGGTGTGGAATGGAATGTTGAGTGGCATATCGGGGATTATATAGTGTGGAATGAAATTTCTCATTCCAGTAAGGCATCAAAATGATTCGGCTAGCTACTGTCAATTCCTCTTCTCAACTGATTTTATGTGCTGACTGGCATGGCCATCAAAATGATTGAGAGGTATAATAATAATAATAATAATAATAATAATAATAATAATAATAATAATAAAATTTGAAAATATGATATGTGCATGTTACCTTGAACCTTGTTCTCTCAGAACCTCAAAGATTTAGTTTTGGTCTTACACGAATTCTGTTCGGCCAAAATTGGTGCATACAAGCAAAAGTCCAAACATATGTATGCATGTCCGACGGCGATACTAAGCAAGTGATCACGGTTCCCGGAAGCAACCGGTTATGTTATTAAAAATGTAGTTTCAATTTTTCACGTAACTAACACCATATCGGCGCATTGAGTTTACTGTCGGGAAAGAATTTGGCCGGTCTGTGAATATGCATTCAAACACACTATATCAATGGACACACGTCCTAGCTTTAGTTGTGCAAATATGTGTCAAGAACCAGTTGGTACCAATAATTCAGAGTTGTTCGGGAGAGGTTTAATCGTTGATCATATACCACAACACGAACATGTCCCCTCAAACGAAAGCCACTCACAAGGGCTTGAAATTTGCACAGGTCTGAAGACAAGAGTACTATGTGCTTAACAAATGGAGGTCACCGGAAATCGAACACAAAACCTCTCGGCCAAAGAAGGCTCTGATACAATGTCAAGAACCAGTTGGTCCCAACAACTCGAGTTATTAGGACCAACTAGTTCTTGAAAATCTGAACCCATCCCTTCCTTTACTTGATTTAATTAGCTTTGGGTGGGCAAGTATGTATATTGACAGTACTTAGCCTTCGGAACCATTAGTCGGATAATATTGCTATGTATGTTTGGACTTCGCTTTATTTAAGTTGGTCTTAACATTTACTATACAACAAAGAACCATCAATTAGGCAAGAATTTTATTCATCATTTTAACATAACATTACTTTTAAAAAATTTGGTACCATTTGCAAAATATATTAAAATTCATAATTTGATATTGAGGATAAATATGAAAAATGATTAATTCAATTACTTAAAACACGTGTGTTAAACATTCTATACGAAAAGTATCAAACAAGTGAGGAAAAATGAGACGATTCTACAATAATAGGAAAATGTGATTTTTTTCATTTATATTTTATAACCTCACAATGGTCAACACTCAGCTTTGGCCAAAAAGTAATTTTTGGTGATAGTTTTGGCAATAATATAATATTAATTAGTCAAAAGATTGGTCAAGATGTTAAACTACGGGTCACATAAAAAGATTAAACTTTTTTGTATAAACCTGTTACAAGGTGCTATTAAAGGGAGGGATCAGGGAAGGGAAAATGCCGACTAGACATCAAACACATGACCTTACAACGAGAAGTCATTTATTGGCCCCAGAATTGACAATTCATCAAGTTTCACCCACCAATTAAATCATTTCAATATAATTAAATCAATTTGCTGGGACAATCAAGCGATCTCTTGAGATTTTTATCAATCTTATTTTTCAAGAGCGGCCGCAGTCTAATCATGTAAAAATGGATTGTTATTTCGTGTGTGAACCGTTTATAATTTGGAGGTATCCTAATTTTCAAGGTCAACTCTCATCTTCATGTTGCTAATCATTTCACCGAGAATTTGGGAGTTGGTTGATTTTATATTATCCTCGATCTCCAACCTTGCGACCTTCACTGTTCAACTTGCAAAAACCTATTATATTGAGATGAAGTTCGGCCCACTTCTGAGACCTAAACAACCAAGCCCAATCAACCCGAGTCACAAGCTAACGTAGCTTCCATTTTTTTTGTGGTGAAGGAATAGTGATCCTTACTTTTCATTTTCTGTTCGGCTCAAGATAGTAAATCAAAGGGTTTATATAAGGATGTAGGGCAATCGGTCAATGAAACAAGGTATCAGTCAATAGTAGCACAGTATGAAAGAGGCCGATCTCTCGTATGAATTGATCTTGATTAATCGATCGGAATTCGGGAATACCACATAGAACTCGAGTGTTTTTTTTTTTTTTTAATAAAGGTGAAATCTATTATTAAAGTTGGGAAGAAAACGGGACAAAAAACCAGAAAAACAAAACGTGGAGACACAGCAACCCGCAGCCAAACAAGCAGGCCACCCAGGGGCGGACCCTAAAATTTGGGAATACGATTATCCAACCCCCGGTGGTAATTTACGTATGGAAAAAAAAATATAATTGATAGTGAGGGACACCTCTGAAATTTGAAAACATGATTATCCTACTATCATAGTGTCATTTGTGTATAGGAATATAAGTGGTAGATTGGGTAATTCAAATCTAGAACATTATTCTTATTAATAAACTTAATTTTCGTTGACCTACCGCTCATTTGTTGTTTGATTTTGAAAAATGTAATAGTAAAATGTCATTTCCTATCTCTAATTATTTTAAAAACCTAACAATTAAACTAATTTCAAGCTACCCTTAATGCGGCAAGTGTTGAAAGAGTCTTTCAGCTTTGGGTTACATCGAGAACAAGTTTAAAAATCGAATATGCGATAAGTTCGTGAATGATTGTCTAATAGGGTATATAGAGACAAAAAATTTTAACACTATAGACACCAAGTGTATTCTACAATTATTTCCGAATATGAAAACAAATCATGGACTTTTTTAACCTGTACGAGTAAGGTATTTTCAAATTTACGATTTTATTTTTATTAATTATTAATTATTTTTATTTAATTTATTTTTAAAAAATGGACACCCCTATGAAAAATTTCTGGGTCCGCCACTGAGGCCACCATCTCCCTGCCCGGCAACACAAACCTGCCAAAGCCTCCTAACTACAAGGTCCACAGGCCCCAGGGACACTAGGACAAAACAGAGGAAACGAAACACCACAGGCCCCAGAACTCGAGTGTCCTTTTGTTGCTGCGTTTTCACTATATATGCACAATTAAATCATGATTATAGTAATTTTATTGGTGTGTATTCGAGAGGGTTTTCTGATAGGCTACATCAGTAACGAGTTTCAAAGGAAGTAATATGTGGCAAATGAATTTATGGACAAATACACCACGAAAGCTAGGTTTTGCTGTGAAATATAAATATGATTCTCAAACTTTCTCTGTTTGCCCTGCATCCCTCTGTTGATTTATCTGCAGAATCTTGCCCTTAAGTGTAGTCTCTTCAAATTGCAGGTTTTTCAAATATCGGTAAGTGTTAAAAACACAATTATTACGGTCGGGTATCGATCAGTCTGTGTGGATCGTATATGACTGAATCAATATTTAAATCGAATTAGAAATATAAGACCGACTGTAGTTCAATTTGGTTTCGATCAAGACCACTATTGATTTGAGATCCAGAAATATTTTAAGAATAAAGAGACAAAAGTGCATCGCATTATATAGAAACATATTGTTTTCCCAATATTTTCTATCCATAGTCCAGCCGCATACTAATTTGACCAGACTCTGGCTGAACAATACCATAGCACACAAAATTCACATATAGTGTTGTGTTTTATTAACCCAAATCGTCCATTAGACCAAAACCAAACCATAGAAACGAAAACTGCTTCAGAAATTAACAAACCGAAGCTACGATGCTCAAACTTGGAAATAATTAGTTTTGCAAAGCGACCCGTTACGTTCTTAAGCAGCAAGCATAGCAGTCTCCCACTCCACCGCTTTCTTCAATAGGCTGTCCTCTTCAAGCACCATCTGAACCGGCAAGAACCCCATCCCGCTCGCCATTGCCAGCATCATCTGCCTCGTCTCGGCCTTGAACTCCTCGAGATCCACCTTCCCATTCGAGTCATGATCGAACTTTGTGAACAGAGACTCGTACTCACTAGCCAGCTCGCTGGGGCTCATACTCTCGTCGATGCCAAAATGGGTCTCGAAGACCCTCAAACTTTGCAGCTCCTTCAGCATCTCCGAATACGAGAGCTGGCCATCGTGATCACTGTCGAGGTTCACGAAGAGCTCGTGAACCGAGACAGTGAAGGCCTCCTCGTCGCCAACAAAGTTGACGATGGTATTGCTGTCGAGAACTTCAACGCTCATCTTTTATGGTTGTTTTGGGGTGATGTTAGAAAGATTTTCTGAAAGAAAAGAGGGTGAAACTAGAGGTTGGTTTTTTTTCAAGGTGGTTTGGTGTGAGCTGAGTTTGGTTGGAGAGGGCTTACGATATTTTATAGGTGCATCATGTTGTAGTTTCCATTTGTTTCCTAAGAAAGAATATTCCCTTGATTCTTCTAGTGCGTGTTGTTTTGCTGGGCTGGTCGTTGGGAGGACATACCACTGGGCTTATTCTTCTGGTGGCCCACAAAGGTGATGCTTGCTTCTTGGATGGGCTAAAGATAGGGTGCATAACCCATGGTTATGCACCCATCAATAACCAAATCTGGACCCTTCATTTAAAAAATCCAGATCTAAGGATGGAGAATTAAAGGCTATTTTTATTTTCACTAGCTTTCTTAATTGACTCATATCTTTTTCGTTTTAACTCGGATTTTAATTTTTTTTGCACAGATGGAACGAGTTCACCGTTCTCTACAAAATGAGATCAATTTTCAATATTTTTTTTATAAAAAAAATTCTGGCCTCTCGGTACCAACTGCATACCATATGGTATCTTCTTCGTTTTTAATTCGTTTTTGAAAACGTTTGCACAGCAGGGATGAGTTCATCATGATCTACTGGATCTACAAATTTCTGGGTGAACAAATTACAGGACCAAAAAATACCACACAATACCATACAATACCACCCTGGTACGGGGTGGTATTTTTTTTAATTCGTTTTTGAAAACGTTTGCACAGAAGGGACGAGTTCATCATGATCTATTGGATCTACAAATTTCTGGGTGAACAAATTACAGGACCAAAAAATACCATACAATACCACCCTGGTACGGGGTGGTATTGTGTGGTATACAATGTTAAAAGTCGTAAATTACAATTAATATACTTCTACTATCATGTATTCAACCATCCTACAGTATTGGTTTGTTCATACCACCATGATACGTTTTTCAAAACATAGGTATGCTTTTATTTCAATACCATATGGTATAGGCTGGTAAAAAATGGCTCAATTTTTTTTGTTCGAAAAATATATTAAAGTGGATATCATTTTGAAGAGCACAATTAATCTGATCTAACTGTGTAAAAAAAATTAAAATTCGACTTAAAATGAGCGAGAAATCGTCCGTCAAAGATTAAAGAGGGGAAAATTAAAGGCTTTCCATGAGAGAGAGGATGCTAATGTCATGCTGATGTGGACGGGTTACTCATGGTTACTCACCACAAGGTTACTGACCTGATCCATTCCCTCTTGGATGGATGGTGAAGTTAAGTAGCAAATCTTTGTTTTAATTAATAAGTTAATGGAGCGATTGATATCTTAATTAAATCTTAATCTGTAAGTGGGTCAAGTTGTTTTTGACCGGTTTGGACTTCAGCGTATAATAAGAACCTGAATGACGTACAGTACAGAAGACTTAATTTCTTCCTTTCTCTTTCTGGATGGGGTCGCCAAAGCCCATTGGAAAGCTTTCAACAAAACAAGGACTATATAACACTGCATATATAGGTGGGCTAAAAATGGTGGATATTATACGCCAACTCAAATTAGTTTTAAAATATCTGATTGTAAATTATAATTGTTTGTATTAGTTAGTCTTATATGATGATATCACAAAGAATTTTAATCGATCTATACATTACTCTAAATTCTAAACCATAAATTCTAGATCTAAACCCAAACCCTAATTTTTAAAATGAAATAAACCTTCAATCATTATAGAAAATTTATGCATTTAATTGTCCATCACATGAGAACTAACTATTGATATTGTTTTGACATAAATCACATGGTTAAAATGACCAAAGTAAGATGAGTGTATGACATTGGGGGAAAAAAGAGTGCACCGAACAATATCATATATATATATATATATATATATATGGAGAGTTCTACGGTACCCAGGGTGAAATCCAGGGTACTACATACCCTGAGTATGAAAACGCTATTCAGACCATGAATTGACTGATCTTTCGGACATAATACTATACTCTAACCCTTAAAGATCAAAATCTAGGTCTTAGTTCCCTAAATCTAATACTCTAAGATCAATTTAATTAGAATAATAATCGACGGTTACGATTCGTCCAAATAAAGGCCAAAAATGAATGCACCATCTCAGGGTTTATAGTTTATAATTTAGATAATTAGGAACTAGGGTTCACTCATTAAGGGTTAGGGTATAGTATCATGCCCAAAAATCCTGCTAATTCGAGGTCTAAATAGCGTTTTCATACTCGAGGTATGCGGTACCCCAGATTTCATCCGGGGTACTGTAGAAGGCACCATATATATATTTAGAATAATTAAGCCACAAGTTCGCAAGAATTACCAAAAATCGCGTTTACTGTTCCTTACGAACAAATCGCGTGCTACTGTTCACGGGGAAGTTTTTTTATTGCACGCGGACGGTTTTAGATAAACTTGCATTCACCATATTGGGCTGGACAAGCTGTAGCGATTGATGGTCTTTTATTTTCGTCAAATGCATGGGCCCACGTGTAAATGACCACATCTGACCAGTACCCCTCTCTTTTCCGTACGTCTCCACTCTCCACAATCCCTTCTTCCCCATTCATTATCTTTCCCTATTCTGAACAAAAGATCTCTTTCCGGCCTTTTTTTTCTCGTCCAATCTCAACCGGAGAACCAGAGAGTTCAAATCATTCGATCCATTTCTCCACCAATAGCAATCGTGTTTTCCTATTGTGACCAAAAAAGATCTCTTTCCTAACTAAGTCTTCCGTCCAACCTCAAATGGAGAATCTAAAGTCAAGTCGATGGAGGTAGAAGAAGATCAACAAGAAGAAATTGAACGTGCGGTTGCCGGAGCTAGGGGCAGACGGAAAAGATCGTTTGAAGGCTTCCTCTTTGAACCCGAATAGTTTCCGAAAGAAGATGCAAATCAAAATTGCAAGCTTATTCTCTACAAAATCAAGGGTTCCCTACCATCGCAAAATCAAATAGAAGCCTTGGAACTTGGAAGGGTAGAACCTTTCTTATATGTGAAATTGAAGCCATTGGAAAATTGGACAGACTAACCGAATTGTCACAACTATAAAAGTAAACCCGGCCATATGATGTTCTTTTGCCCGCTCAATCAACACATACGACAACGGCGGTGGTTGAGCAGTAGAAAGAGAGGACGAGAGATGAAGCATTGAGAATAGAATGGATGGGTTGTCAAGATGTATATGGTTACTCCTCTCTTATGAGTTTTTGGGAACATCAATCCTTTTATGAATGGAATTGCATGGAGTACACATGTCTCCATTTGCAATTGAAGAAGGCCACCTGTATACATGTCCACACATGTCGACTAAATTTGGGTCGTCCCCAAATATAAATTTCTTATTTAATTTTTTATTTATTGGATGAGGGGTGATATAAGAAACTTTCCTTCTTTCTTAACTTTTCAATCATCTCTAAATCACGAATTCATGGTTTGGTTTGTGGAATAATATATAGTCTATTCATGTGTTATTTTTTAGATGATAAATTAAAACACATATATACACTATAAAAATATATGTTTCTTCGGTTTGATTTTGGCAATTCATACATACACTATAAATTACAATTTTTAAGAGTGTTAACACATTGTATGTTTGAAGAAATTGTTTACTTCATGATTATAAAATTTTGATAATAAATTTTTTCGAATTACCAGATCATGCTACAATAACCAATTTTAGATAAATTCAAAATTAACGAACCACAATCTATTTTGATGTTCTTCGTTTTGACGAAAATAAAATACTAAAGGTTTCTTGCAATAAATTGGGAGCCTAAATTTTATTATTTGAGTTTTCTTTTCAACAATGCAGTATAATGATATGCGAGCTTAAATTTCATCCTAATTTATGTAATTAAAAAAAATTATATATAAAAATATCGATGGCAAGTACAAGTATGTAACACTTCAGGTACACCGTACACGTATATGATACTCATAAGGAACAATTCAATTTTTACTGAAAAATATGTGTTTCAATGATTAAATGAATGATTTCTTATACAAACTCTAAATTTACATATATCAGGGTGGAGCATTTAGAACTTACAAGTACAATAAAAAAATAAAAATATTGAAACAAAACAAAGCAAACATCCACAACATGGAATACCGGGTAAATAACTGTATAGATATATAACCACAAGTTAAAAATAATTGTTCATTACTAAAAATAGAGCATACTATTAAAAACTTCTTTTCCTGTGTACTATTCACTTATTTTGTTATCCCTTATACCCAACTTTACCATAAATCACTTCCCCTTATACAAATTGTATAATAAAATTATTTATTTCTCAACCATTACAATCAATTTCACTATAAATTATATTTCCTTAATTGTCTGTCTAGATACTTTGTTTTCTTTCCTAAGAATTCCTTTCATGTTATGAAAGACATAAATATTACAAATACATTATGTACAACTTAGAAAGGATAATAATTTTATATGAATCAAACATTACGTAAATTACAAATACATTGCGTAGGATTTATAGAGAAATATTCATTTCTTATGTATAAATTAAGCAAAATGTATCATGTAAGTTTTTGGAAATGTTCAAGACACTAATTATAGTGAGTGATAGTTATTTATTATGTATCAGTTAAACATATTACGTATTTTTTTTAGTAATGTAAGTTTGACCATGAATTTATTTATTATTGGGCAATGTCTATTTTTTACCCAAACCTTTTTCAGATTCTTTTATTTTAACCAAACCTATTGAATTCCTAAAAATTATCCAAACGTTAATTCTCCGTCAACTTTTCTGTTAGTAATGCTGACTAAGTATGACCATAATGAGTTGACTTCCTACGTGGCGGTCAGAATACCATCGTTTACTATTTTTAATAAAAAGATTATCAAAAAACAAAACAAAATCCCACCTCTCACGTGGACAAAATAAGTAACGGTAACAGAATGAATGCCCAGACTTTGATAAATTATAATACGTTTGGATAA